TATATATATATATACTAGATAACCCGACAAACGCTGTTTTGCCTTATAAATTATTTCTAGTTTCTAGATAAATTCTAGTGTAGACAAAAAGTAACTTACTTATTATAAGTGTGTAAGTATGTGGTATATGCATGAAATAGGCATGGAGCGCTATGAACGAAAAGGATAATAAAAATAACAAACGCCAAACAATATTATTTTTAAGTTATTATAGTTTATTTATTAAATTATTAATTTAAAATCAATAGATTTTATGATACCAAGTTCCCTGGCAACAACTGTTGTATCTTCAAATTTAAATTGTCTTGGATTGACTGTAAATAATAATAATGATAATGGGCCAGTAACATTAACCAACAACAGTCGAAGATAAAAGTACTCAGTGTGTCTTGGATTAACTATAAATAAGCGTTTGATTTAAATAAATTGAGACATGCATCAACTGGTGAAACTTGCTTGCGGGGCATCCATTTTTTTGTTTAAGGCCATGTGAAATAGCGTGGTACTTGTGAATAGAGTAATGTTTTTGCAAAGGCACCAAAATCATCCGTACTATTAAACAATTCAAAAAATGCAGTGAGTGCAGATTTAGGTGGATTTGTACCACGATCAATCACTGTCTCGTTCGTGAAAAATACACGCTGACCATTTTCAAGATGGACGGCTACCTGAACAGCTGCTGGATCCCGTTCATGAATTAGAAAGCCGAAGATACGCCAAGCAGCTTCATTGGAGGTGATGTACCGACCAATTTGGTAGAGCGTAATTTCACCGTTTTTGTTCATTGGAGGAGCATTTACATTAGTATTTTCTACTCTAAACACAGCCATACCACCGCCTTTATGGACATACTTATATATTTGATGCTCTTCACAGAACTGCAAAACTCAACATTAATATAAGCATTGTATGTCTTGCTTAGCAGAGGCGAATACGTTACCACCCGCCATTGTCCCCCATTATCGGGATTTCTTCGACGATATATTGGATATCCGTCGGTATTTGTTATAGTATCATTAGTGAAATCTTTAGAAAAATTTTTAGTACATTTTCCATCTGCCATGCAAGCCGAAGACGAAGAACGAAGTCGATGTAAATGCTCGATGTACTTGTTGGCGTAGTTACATAAAATATTAAGAAAAAATTTTTCTTTTTCAAAAATATAAACAAAATTTATGTCAAAAAAATAAAAAATTTTTTGTTAAGCACTAAGGATATTTTTACTGGGTAGGGACTCCCTAATCACTTTAGCGGTATGAAAAATAGATAGTAGCCGATTCTCAGACCTACTGAATACGCATATAAAATTTGGTAAAAATCGGTAAAGCCGTTTCGGAGGAGTACGGTAACTAACATTGTGACATGGAAATTTTATTTATAAGACCGCAAACAGACATCGTTTGGCCTTGCGACTTATTGATGGTCTTTGCAAATGCCAATCTAATAGGAAATTGAACGCGTTTGAATTAAATTGGCATGTCTGTGAGAATCATTGGAATTCGTGGCAATAAAACTTTTTCGTTTCGGAACTTGCCATTCAAAATGGTGGCTTCGATAATGTTTTTCATCAATTTTTTAATTACCAATCGCGTATTATTGTACTATTGTATTGTATGTGTACATCTGGAAATACGCGGTCAATGAGAGCATTTTGGGAATTAACGATAGTGCAGAAATTAGGGGGCAGTTTTATGAATTCAGTATTTTCATAGACAACAACTTTTCATATCATAGCAAGTTTTCTTTTTCAAAAATATAAAAAAATTTATGTCAAAAAAATAAAAAAATTTTTGTTAAAGCAATAAAGATATTTTTGCTGGATAGGGACACCCTAATCACTTTAGCGGTATGAAAAATAGATAGTAGCCGATTCTCAAACCTACTGAATACGCATATAAAATTTGGTAAAAATCGGTAAAGCCGTTTCGGAGGAGTACGGTAACTAACATTTTGACAATGTTAATTTTATATATAGATTATATCTTATATATAAAATTAACATTGTCAAAATGTTAGTTACCGTACTCCTCCGAAACGGCTTTACCGATTTTTACCAAATTTTATATGCGTATTCAGTAGGTCTGAGAATCGGCTACTATCTATTTTTCATACCGTTAAAGTGATTAGGGTGTCCCTATCCAGCAAATATATCTTTATTGCTTTAACAGAAATTTTTTATTTTTTTGACATAAATTTTTTTATATTTTTGAAAAAGAAAACTTGCTATGATATGAAAAGTTGTTGTCTATGAAAATACTGAATTCATAAAACTGCCCCCTAATTTCTGCACTATCGTTGATTCTCAAAATGCTCTCATTGACCGCGTATTTCCAGATGTACACATACAATACATAAATCATGGGTGGCTGGCAGAAAGAGTCATTAGCAGGAAAAAAAAATGTGGACGTTGATGAATTAAACTTCAAGATAAAACAGACATTGCCAGGCGACTTAATATCATACAAATTGATCGATACAGTTTGTAATACCAACGAAGTTGTAAACTATCCAGCAGAGTTTTTAAACTCACTGGATTTGCCAGGCATACCACCACACATTTTACGACTGAAAGTTGGATCACCGATTATTTTACTTCGGAATTTGAACCCACCACTGCTATGCAATAGTACGCGATTGGTAATTAAAAAATTGATGAAAAACATTATCGAAGCCACCATTTTGAATGGCAAGGTCCGAAACGAAAAAGATTTATTGCCACGAATTCCAATGATTCTCACAGACAAGCCAAATTAATTCAAACGCGTTCAATTTTCTATTAGATTGGTATGAGAATCGGCTACTATCTATTTTTCATACCGCTAAAGTGATTAGGGAGTCCCTACCCAGCAAAAATATCCTTATTGCTTTAACAAAAAATTTTTTATTTTTTTGACATAAATTTTGTTTATATTTTTGAAAAAGAAAAATTTTTTCTTAACTTCATTTCTTCGTCTTCGCCTTGCATGGCAGATGGAAAATGTACTAAAAATTTTTCTAAGGATTTCACTAATGATACTATAACAAATACCGACGGATATCCAATATATCGTCGAAGAAATCCCGATAATAGGGGACAATGGCGGGTGGTGCCGTATTCGCCTCTGCTAAGCAAGACATACAATGTTCATATTAATGTTGAGTTTTGCAGTTCTGTGAAGAGCATCAAATATATTTACAAGTATGTCTATAAAGGCAGTGATATGGCTGTGTTTAGAGTAGAAAATACTAATGTAAATGCCAATAAACAAACACGGTGAAATTACGCTCTACCAAATTGGTCGGTACATCAGCTCCAATGAAGCTGCTTGGCGTATCTTCGGTTTTCTAATTCATGAACGGGATCCAGCAGCTGTTCAGTTAGCCGTCCATCTTGAAAACGGTAAGCGTGTATTTTTCACGAACGAGACAGTGATTGATCGTAGTACAAATCCACCTAAATCTACACTCACTGCATTTTTTTAATTGTGTAATAGTACGGATGATTTTGGTGCCTTTGCAAGAACATTACTCTATTCACAAGTACCACGCTATTTCACTTGGGCTCAAACAAAAAAATGGATGCCCCGCAAGCAAGTTTCACCAGTTGATGCATGTCCTGCAATTTATTAAATCCGAACGCTATTACAGTTAATCCAAGACACACTGAGGGCTTTATCTTCGACGTGTTGGTTTAGATTAACTGGCCTATTACAATTATTGATTTTTACAGTCATCAACGACAATTAAAAGTTTGAAGATACAACAGTTGTTGCCAGGGAACTTGGTATCATACAAATCTATTGATTTTAAATTAATAATTTAATAAATAAACTATAATAACTTAAAAATAATATTGTTTTTGTCTACACTAGAATTTATCTAGAAACTAGAAATAATTTATAAGACAATACAACGTTTGTCGGGTTATCTAGTATTTATATATAATTTATAAAATATGTAATATAACTTTTTTATAAAATATATAAAATTTTCATATATAACAAAAGATATAGTATATATATTTACATATATGCAACTTATCTATTGCATATTTATGTATAATAGATATAGGTACATTTATTTTTAAGCATATATATTTCAGCATTTAAGCATTATATCTATAACATAAATCTGTTATTAAATAGATTTTTATATTTTTATTTATAAGTTATTAAATAGCTTATAGCATATATTTATTATATTTTCTACAATGTCAAAATTATATATTTTTATCCCGTAACGCTAGTTACTTCTCAAATCACTCGCTGTTTAATCTAATTCTTCTTGGATTAAGAATTTGTTCACCAATACTGCAATCCTCTCAGTAGGTGTGGATTAGATTTGACTTTTAAGTAGAATAGTATTTTTATTTTGTACTTATTGGAGCAAAATTTGTTCGAGAAATTATATATCCACTTAGAAACATGATTAAAACTTTTTAATATTTTTTTATACTTAGTATCGGAATATTCCTATCCAAAAGTGATAAATATATAGAATTTTTGTATATGGATACATGTAGATGTCATAAACATCTTACAAAAACTATTATGTTACTAATTATACTACTAAAGTTTTTATATAGAGTATTTAAGTAACACATACAGTGTATATAATTATATATATATTAAATATATTATACAGAAAAATGATACATGAAATGAAATGTACCCCCATATAATGCAGATTTTGATTGCTTAATCTGGATTAACGTTTTTAATCGGGATTCATTTTTAGTGCAATTTTTATGTTCGATTGATGAATCTCGAGTAAAATGTTTAACACTTGAGTTTAATTTATAATGCTTTAGATATTTTGCTAAAGTAGCAAGATTACCCTGACATTAACAGCTGTTTTATATGACTTGATAGATAAAGTATAATTTAATTCGACTTATTTATTTATTATAGTTGTGCCAGATCGAGTGTAAATCTACATGAAATCCAATCGAAAACGTCATAAGATATAATTTATAACAATATGCACCTAAATAGACTATCTAGATATTTCTATCTAAGTATATAACAGCACTAACTATATCGATATCTAGCGTAGTGAAAAAATTTGTTTAAAAAAGCTGACTAAAAAATCATTTTTCAAACAGGTGTGCTTGGTGTGGGCCGATTTGTCAATCGGAGTTGCTATTATTAGCTTATGGAAAATAAGATTTAATATAAATTGAATCAATTAATTCAGTATTATCCAATAAAGCAAATTAAATATATTTGATTGTCACCAACTGCATTTATCACTAATTAATTTATTCTGATATTTTACATTAAGTTAAAATTAATCAAAAATTAAATATAATGAAGTAAAAATTTGCAATTTTAATTTAAAATTGTATTTATTTTTTTCAACATTTGTTAACCTTCCTCACTATTATAACCAGATTATAATCAGTTCACAATTTCACTTTTGCACAATTTACACATATTTTTAGTTTTATTTTAATTTATTGTAATCTGCAATCAAAAAGTTAAAGTTTGTAAAATTTTTATTTTAATTTTAGTACAAAAAAAATTTTTTTTTAACTTTATTTTTAGATATAGTAATAAAAACAAATTATTTTTAATATTAAAAGAATCTAAAGTATTCAAAAAATATGTCAAAAATATAGTCCTGTATTTGTTTAATTCTGTTGATGCTCATCCTAACACTCTTAAAATAAGTGTGTCTATGTTCTATGGAAAAGAAATTTTTTAAAGGTTTAACTGCATAATTTCAAGTTCTTTTGGAATGCAACATTTATTACAGTGTATCATCCAAGTGATCACAATGATTATTTTGTATATATTCCATCAATTATATACTTTTATTAATGAATCTGAATTATTCAATATTATGTTTGAATGGAACACTTATTACAGTGAATAACCTATTAATAGCAATTAATATTGAATACAATTTTACAATACAATATTTAATTAAATGGAATTAATATATTTTATAAAGAATATTCATTTATAAACTCTACTGAATAATTCAATAGTCTATTTGAACGGAGCACTAATTATAGCAGATCATCCAAGTGATCACAATGATTATTGGGTATATATTCCATCAAATTTATTCAATATTATAATTGAATGGAATACTTATTCAATATTATAATTGAATTTAATACTTATTCATCTAAGTGATCACAATCATTATTGACTACTATATCATTTATATTGACTATATATCAAATGTATATTTTTATTAATGAATCTAAATTATTCAATATTATATTTAAATGAAAAACTTATTACAGTGAATCATTCAAGTGATCTTCATTATTATTAAGAAAAAGTGTGATATTTATATTCCGTCAAAAAACCACCTAATTAAACTCAACTGAATAATTCTATATCCTATTTCAACGGAACACTTATTATAGTGAATCACCCAATCAGTTCTGAAGTGCAATCTATATACCGTCAAAAATACACTTTTATAAATTTAACTGAATTATTCAATATTTTATTTGAATGGAACAATTTTAATAGTGGTTCACCTAAGTGATATTAATCAAAATTGAATAAAAGTGCTTTAGATACTAACTCGCATTTAATTCAACAACAAAATTAATTTTATTATTTATTTTAATTTTTAAATAATGTTTTTTATTGTTTGCTGAGTTTAAGAAATAATAATTTTTACTTTAGTAACTATTATATATATAACTATAACAATAACCTTTAAAGTTTAAAAAATTTATTGCTAATTTTAAAGTTTTAACTTTATTAACTATTTTATATAAATTTAACAAAAATTTTTAATTTTTATAAAATTTACTTTAGTAACTTTACTAATGTTTACTTTAGTAACTATTATATATATAACTATAACAATAACCTTTAAAGTTTAAAAAATTTATTGCTAATTTTAAAATTTTAACTTTATTAACTATTTTATATTAATTTAACAAATATTTTTAATTTTTGTAGAAGTTTATTATTTATTGTTAAATTTTAAAACTTTATTTTTAACTTCATTTAACTATTTTATATAACTTTACAATAATTTTTTATTATTAAAAAAGTTTTTTATTTATTTTTAAATTTTAAAATTGTACCTTTTACTTCATTAACCATAGTTTTTTATTTATTGTTAAATTTTATATATATATATATATTTTTATTTAAGCAACTATTTTTGTACAAATTTAACAATATCCTTTAAAGTTTAAAAAATTTATTGTAAAATTTTAAAACTTTATTTTTATTTTTTAATTATTTTATATAACTTCAATAATAATTTTTTATTTTTAAAAAAGTGTGTTATTTATTTTTAAATTTTAAAACTGTACTCTTTATTTCATTAACCATAGTTTTTTATTTATTGTTAAATTTTAAAATTGTACCTTTTACTTCATTAACCATAGTTTATTATTTATTGTTAAATTTTAAAATTATATTGTTTACTTTAGTAACTATTTTTGTACAAATTTAACAATAACCTTTAATGTTTAATACATTTATTGTTAAATTTTAAAACTTAATTTGTATCTTCATTAATCGAAGTTTTTTTTTTATTGTTAAATTTGTAAATTATAATTTTTACTTCATTAACCATTTTACATAATTTTTATAATAATTAATTTAGTATTAAATTTTGCAATTTTAATTTAACTTAATTTTGGATTTTATATAAGTTCAGTATATATGTATTTAATTTATTTAATTTGCATAATTTTTGCGGATAATCCAAACTTAAGCTACACAAAAAAATAATATTGTAAAGTTTATTTTCAATTTATTTGAAATACTTTTTTTTATTGTTACATTAACCCTTTTGAACTGATTTATTTGAACACCACCATAAATCACCATAAATTATTAATTAATTAATTATTTAAAAATAATTATAAATTTTGTATTTCACTGCACTAATAAATGCAAATACAATTAAAAACTTTTTTATCCGCACCTCAGTGTAAATTTCTTTTTATGAAGCACAAATTTCCGAGTCAACCGTTGACGTCTCCAGAGCCGCGGCTACGTTTTATTACAACAACCGATTCGATCGAAATAAATCGATTTTTAGTTTTGTAAACCTTTTTATAATGAAATATTACACACATAAAAACTTGGTAAAAAGTCAGTTTTATTGCCACAACACAACGGATAAAAAAATTACCCGCAGCCGAAAAACAGAAACAATTTCAGGAAAAAAATCTAACAAAATCGCTTTAATTATGCATAACATTTTATGTATTTTTTGTTCGGCGGTGATGATTTTATTCCGCAATATCTCAGCTATTTGTCATCTTTGGTTACGAATGCTAGATAAAATTTGTAGGTAGTTATGAGTACGACGGCTAAAGACAGTGGGGGCTACTTGGACAACTTGTCTATGAGATTGAGCACGATTTTTTGTTTATTTGATTATGCAGCCACAAATTACGATTTTCTGATTTTCTGAATTTCTGAAGTACGGCTTCGAAGAGATGCTTACGTTTAAGATAAAGATACATTTTTTTTTGACTTTTGTTTCAGAAAGCATAATTATGTGAGTGTGTTAATCGGTTCGCTAGCCCATATGTATGTTATCTGTTCAAATGCGAGTAGGTATATGTATAAATGTATGTACCGTGTCTGCTACGTCTCTCGTGGTTACTACGTAATTATGTTAATTTCATTAATGAAATTATTGATTGGAACTCTCCTCATCTGAATGTTTCAGTCATTGGCTTATTTCTGTTTATTTTAATTTATTAAAGCTAAATTGGTTGAAACACGTTTCAATCATAAGAAATTAATCACAAAATAATTTTACATAAATTGTTAAATTGATTTAGTTTCAGTATTTTTATGCTATTTTAATTCAATAAAAAATTTTATTCATTTTGTGGTGATTATGATGTTTAATATTTTTTTTTTCCATTTTTGGAAAGTTGTATGATTTCTATATGCAATTTTCATCTTTGGCACTGATAGAGCATTCCCATGATTTGATAAGGCATTTAATTTGATTGTAATTGAGCACCAATTTTGACTCGTATTGCATAATTTTGATGAACGGACTCCTAAAAATGATTTAATGTCTTTTTTCTTATCGTTTGGTTTTGCTATTGTTTCGTTAATTGATTTTAATTTTTATCTTTAAGTTTGAACTTTTTCCTACTCACCACTTACGTTAAGCATTCGTGGTATCTCAAATGGTAAATTCATTAAAAAAATTATTTTGTTTAATGTTAAATTTTTACATATGTTATATTAATTATTGCGAAATATTTTCCGGGGCAACGTGCCAGTCACTGTAATTATTTCTTATATATGTTTTACACTTATTTTAATTAGGAACTGGGAAATTTGTTAACAGATACTATATTTAAACGAATGCTCGTTTATTATTTTAATTTTAAAGGAAATATTATTTTGTTTATTAAGTACTGTTAAAGTGATTATTCAAAAAATTATGCATATTTTAATAAATTATGCATAATAAATACAAAAATTTTTATATATTTTTTTACGTTTATTTCATGAATAAAACGGTCACTAGTTTATTTAAAAAATGAAAAATTGGATTACGAGTAACTAATAATTAATTATGGTAACAAAATTTTGAAAATAGTTTTTAAAATATAATTAATTAATTCAATTATTCTACAGTTGGTTTATGATTTCATTCCAACGTAACACATTAAGTGAATTTCTTAATGAACTTTCACAGCAAATTAACAAAACTCCAGAAAAATGTGCGAACATAGGAGTCAAGTACGGCTTTGTGTCAGTTGGCTAATGAACGCTGACTCTGAGCTTCAAATTTGACAGGGCACAAGCTTAACCCTTGTTACCTGTAGTCTCAAAAATTTTTTTACAAATAATTAAATACAATAATTATTTTCAAGACCACTGATGATGGATATTTGGCAATACTTGATACAGCTATATGGTCAAGCAAAAGTTCAATTAATTAAAATAATATAAAATAAATTTT